GAGACCTATTACACATGTCTTTTTTTAGCAGTTTTGCGTGCGTATATTAAGTTGCACGTTTTTGTGAGCAGAATTTGGCACATTTATGTGAATGGACTAAACGCTGGCAAAAAAAAATTGCAGTGCACGTTTTTTATTCAGTCTATGGGACAAAACGCTCTGAAATTGCCCCAAAGTAGCTCATGTACTATTTCAAGCGAATTTCTGCTTGAGACAAAACTCACAGGTGTGAACAGGGGCCACAGAAATGAATGAGATTCCTTGGGTGGAGCGTTATGTCGTGCTGAATCAGCTGCGACAATAGCTCTAGGTGTGAATTAGTGCTAGGGGTAGGGCACTCTGAAGCTGGCCATACACCTTACAACTAGGGATGCACCGATATATCGGCCGCCAAAACATATCGGCCGAAAATGGCACTTTTGGCTAAATGCCGAAAGTGCAATTTTTGTGCCAGTACATCGGCGCATCCGTACTTTCTCTCATCCCCGCTGGGCGCTGCTCTGTGTCCTAACGGGGAGGAGAGAAACTGTGACAGCCGGCCGAGCGATGTGAGCGGCTGGCGTCTCTCCTCCCACACCACTCAGCTTCCTATCGCAGTCTGGCAGAGCGGTGTGGGGGCGGAGACAGCGCTGTCAGAAAGGAGAGCAAGAGCAAACACTCGCTGAGTGTTTGTACATAATTGAGGACATAGCATGTTGACTATATCCTCAATTATAAATGAATGAGAGTGATCTACATCTCCTCCTGTTCATTCATAATTGTGGTTATAGTAAACATACTATATTCTCATGTTATGAATGAACAGGAACACTCAGTATAGAGGATTCCAGTTCATTGATAACAGGGGATGCAGAAAAAGAGATTGACGGTGTCCTCAATCTCTTTTTCTATTTTAAAAGGGAAATATCAGGGGTCTGTTTAGACCCCTAATATTTCCCCGAAGACCCTAAAAGTAAAGTAAAAAATATGTAATAAAAAATTAATAAATATAAAAAAATGAAAAAGTTTATAAATAAAATGTTTCAAAGAAATGTAAAAATTAAAATAAAAAACATTTTGGGTTTCGGCCTTACAATTTTTTTTATTTCGGTCTTGTTTCAGTTTTGGAATTTCCATTTCGGTGCACCTCTACTTACAACCATCACACGACGGTCATTAAAATCTTGTACTACCTGCCCATCTTGGACAGGCAGATCGTACTTGCGAACATGATGATGATTGCAATGCTGAGCGGGCAGTGTGTGCTTGCGCACACCGCCCTGTGCGGCTTTCGTCTTCTGAGCACGCTACCAACCCGCTGAAAATCGTACGATTTTCGTCAGGTTTTCCAGCGTGCTAGGAAGATGAAAGTCGTGCGACCGTACAGTAGATGCGGTCGCACGCTGCCCATACACCTGCCGAACGATAATCGGCAGGTGTATGGCCACCTTACGGCTCCATTCACACAGGAGTGGTTGTCCATGCGTATTCGGACATGCGAATACACGAGGAGCTACTCTAAACATAAAAAACAATGCACTTTAATGTGCATTGTTCAGACTTTTGCGGGCCGCAAAATAGTCCAAATGCAAATTATTATTTTTTGTACAGATTCCGCACATTTGGGGCTATAGTCATATATAATATAGTAATAGCCGCAAACGAGCAGAATCCGTGCAGATGAAAGTTTGGTTTTTTTCAAGAAAGTTTTATTGAAATTTTTCACATATTACAACAAAATAAGACACAGGTTATCACTTAAGAAAAAGTCAGGCTGATATTGCTATACCGATCCTAGGGATTACAAGGAAAGCATATAGGAGCAGACAATACATTTGCCATCTGACCTAGCAAACTGTTCTGGACGGAGTGGGTTCCTCTCCTGCACCCTCTAGGCATATGAACTATAGTGTCCCTGAGTCGTGCAGCAAATGTAAGCCTTCAGTCTGAATCTATTCGCAAGGCCCCCAAGGCATTCGACATGCCTGCTTTCAGGTACAAATTTGTGTATCGAAAAGGTCTGACAATTTGTGTAAGTTCTGAAACAGCGTAGGACACACTCAGAAAGTAACGCCACCTGGTGAAAAAGAATTTAGAACGGGTGTCTTTATGCAAATCTGCATCTAGCCTCTCCTTACAAAGAAGTAGTTTAACCTCCCTGGCGGTATGATTTTTAATTTTTTTCATGTCATTATGTCATTTTTCGGTCTATTTTTTTTTGAATTTTTTTCGTCTTTGTCGTTTTTTTTTTTTTTTTATATCCCGCCAGTTCCGCCCCCCTGC